CTCCCAGAATTCCCTAGCCAGCATGGCTGGACTCCAGCTCCCAGAATTCCCTAACCAGCATGGATGGACTCCAGCTCCCAGAATCCTGCAAGTTGAAACCCACACATCTTAAAGTCTCCAAGTTTGAAAAACGCCAATCTATTTTAACCTTCTGGAATGTGCAGGAAAATCAATTTAATTGTCCTTCGGAGAGAAGAGCTTCACCTTCTTCTTAAAACCTGCCAAGGTGAAGAACCCGAAGGAACAGGGGAAGCGCTCACATGACAGAACAGCTAAGAGAAAATGCCTATCGGGGCCAGTTGGGAGTCGTGGGCCAAGCAGTTGAATCTTTTGGCGCAGAGAATAACAAGAGTCGGAAGGGACCTCAATTTTTATAGGAATCGAAAAATCAAGGCTCCCATTGTGGGGGGTTTGGGGGGGATTTTTTGGGGGGAACTTCTGCCAGTTTGTGCTCCTCTCCATGTGTTTGGAGACATCTTAGGACAGGTCCCTCTGCCCCCACATGCCCGGGTGGCTTTTTCAACCTGCCGGGGGCATCCGGTAACCCAATCCTTTGGCGGGGACAGCTGTTGCCTGTGGGCGAAAGCTGCAGACGACGGCCAGATGGACCTGCCTCTCCCCGGGCCTGAGAGGGAAAAGCAACCAGAATTGGCTGCTAATTCATTCCCCCAGAGCTGAACCGAATTCTCCATCTGCTATTAAGCAGGGCTGGGATTCAGCCGGTTTGGGCCGGTTCAAGCAAACCGGATGTTAAATTTAACATCCGTTTGGCCTAACCAGTAGTTGAACCAACTGGCCGGCCCTAGTTGTGCCAGTTTACTATCCGAATAAAAAGGAACCTTTTGAGAAGATGTCAGGTTCAGGATAATCCTCCACTCCACCCAGTAACTCCGAGACAGGCATCTTCTCAAAGGTTCCTTTTTATTCGGATAGTAAACTGGCACAACTGGGGAATCCCGAATCTGAAAGTTCCGGGTTTCCCTCCAAATTCCCCAAAACTTTCCCCTTAGACTGTCTACTATTGACCTCACCCCTTTCCTAAGAGGTCTGTAGGGGGCGTGCATAAGCACACCAACGTGCCTACCGTCCCTGTCCTGTTGTTTCTTTTATATTTTTCTTATATGCATCCCTGTATTCATAACTATGTTTTTACTTCTACCTATTATCTTGTAAGCAATTGACAAATATAAATAAATAAATAAATAAAGTGAAATGACAAATCCATCATCGCATCCCTTGGCCCAATCAACATCCATCCCAACTTAAGACTTCCTCTCACTTATGCGCAACGCAACCTGACCTTGAATGAGAAAAAGAATGTTGTTATGTCTTAACTACATACACTCCCAAGAAATTCCCCCCTCCCTCTTTCCCAGGCTCAAAATGTGGCAGCGTGGGAGCATCTGGTCTCAATATGGCTTCCGAAGCTGACACCCCTCCCCTCCCCTCCCCTCCCCTCCCCTCCCAGAAGTCTCCACGCAGCCCATTTTGGATGCAGGAAAGTGCAGGGTCTGTGCGAAGGCTCTGGGAGAGTGAAAAATGGCCCTCCTGGAAGTTCCAGAAGTCCAGAAATAGGCCTGTTTCCGGCTTCCGGAGGACCTCCGGAGCCCGGGGAAGGCCGTTTTCACCCTCCCAGAGATCTGAGGGAAGCCTCCGGACTCTGGGAAGGCGAAAAATGGCCCTCCTGGAAGTCTGGAAATGGGCCTGTTTCTGGCTTCTGGAGGACCTCCGGAGCCCAGGGAAGGCCATTTTCGCCCTCCCAGAGGCCCAAGAGAAGCCTTCAGACACTGGGGAAGGCAAAAAAATGGCCCTCCCGGAAGTTCTGGTCGGCCACGCCCACCATGGCCACGCCCACTCAGCAACCGAGCAGAGAACCGGTTGCTGGGATATTTGAACCCTACCGCTGCTATTAAGTGATGCGAAGCAGGTACAGGCAATCCCTGACTTAAAACAGTCCAGTTTAGGGACCGTTCGAAGTTGAAATGGCACTGTAAAAAGCGACGTACGGGCATGTTTCGCCCTTACGACCGTTGCAGCATCTCCATGATCGGGCGATGACAATTCAGACACTTGGCAACTGGCTCGTATTGATGATGGTGGCAGCGTCCCGGGGTCACATGATCCCCTTCTGGATGAGCCAAGTCAGTGGGGAAGCCAGATTCCCTGAGCAACAGTGGGGCTAATTTAATAGGTGCAGTGATTCAACTTAAGAGCTCTGGCAAGAAAGGTGGTAAAATGAGAGAAAAGTCACTTAACGGTTGTCTCACGTGGCAACAGAAATGTTGGGCTAAATTTTGATGGAAGGATGGATGGATGGATGGAAGGAAAGAAGGAAGGAAGGAAGGAAGATGGGAAAGGAAAAAGGAAAGTGAAAAAGGAAGGAAGGAAGAAGATGGGGAAGGAAGGAAGGAAGGAAGGAAGGAAGGAAGGAAGGAAGAAGGGAGGAAGGGAAGGAAGGGAAGGAAGGAAGGATAACAGTTATACAAAACTTAGAAGAGTAGACTTAAAGCCAGAGTAAGGGGAATATTGAATAAAATGCCATAAGCAGTAAAAAGTCCCAAATAAAAATACAACAGCACAAGCCAGCCAAGAAATGTAATCACATCCCTCTAACGTTCTCATTTATTATTCATTTCCGCTCTTCTAATTTGCCTCAGAAATTCACCAGGTGGATTGCAAAGCTAGCAAAACCCTTAAAAGTGCAAAACACAAGATGTGCAACGAACTCTGGATGAAAGAAAGAAAAGAAAGAAAGAAAGAAAGAAAGAAAGAAAGAAAGAAAGAAAGAAAGAAAGAAAGAAAGAAAGAAAGAAAGAAGGATAGGATAGGATAGGATAGGATAGGATAGGATAGGATAGGATAGGATAGGATAGGATAGGATAGGATAGGATAGGATAGGATTAGGAATAGGAATAGGAATAGGAATAGGAGTTGGAAGGGACCTTGGAGGTCTTCTAGTCCAACCCCCTGCTTAGTTAGGAAACCCTACGCACCACTTCAGACAAATGGAATCCAACATCTTTTTAAAAACTTCCAGTGTTGGAGCATTCACAAGTTCTGGAGGCAAATTGTTCCACTGGTTAATTGCTCTCACTGTCAGGAAATTTCATCTTAGTTCTAGGTTGCTTCTCTCCTTGGTTAGTTTCCACCCATTGCTTCTTGTCCTGCCTTCAGGTGCTTTGGAGAATAGCTTGACTCCCTCTTCTTTGGGGCAGCCCCTGAGATGCTGGAAGACTGCTATCCTGTCACCCCTTAGTCCTTCTTTTCATCAAACTAGACATACCCAGTCCCTGCCACCGTTCTTCATCTTCTTTAGCCTCCAGTCCCCTAATCCTCTTTATTTCTCTTCTCTGGCACTTTTTCCAAAGTCTCAACATCTTTTTGATAATACGGCGACCAAAACTGGATCCCGTATCCCAAGTGCCAGCTTTGGAAGCTATATTCCACGCTGCCACATCGCCTGAGAAAGCGAGAGGGGGTGGATTTCTATGGAGTAGCTCTCAGTAGACAAAATAAAATGCTTTTGTTAATTCAAGGTCGTTGAGTATGGCGCTGGAGGAAATAAGGGTGGATTTGTAGTTTGGGAAATTGTGGGAAGCCCGAAAGCTTTTAGATTTGGGATTCCACAGATGTGCCAGGTGCTATTCTAATGACTGATAGATAATGACTGTCTCAGAGTTACTGCTTGGAATGGAGGTTTGCTGGAGTGCTGACACCAAGGGTGATCATACTAAGGCTTTATAAAGTGGTACTAATACTTCACGTGGTATTGATTTTATACCTCTGCCAATGCAAAAGAAGGATAGAATCAAGATCAGGTGGAAGAATTGTGGACGGTTATGGCAAAGGAATTGTCCATCCCCCGATAGCCTTGTTTCTGTTTTTTTTTTTAACTTCCTAAAATATTGCATTCCTCTTCCATTCTTTCTGTTGTGATGTTTATAGGTGAACGAAGGCTTTTTGCTTTAAGACAGCGATAATTTGATAGAAGGGCACTCAAAAAAACTCTCTGGCTCAAGCTGTAAGGTTTTTAGCTGTTCTTTCAATTCCCTTGGCTGTTGAAATTTTGCATTAATCATCAGGCCCAGTCCAGCTTAATGGAAAAATAATGTTAATTTCATTTCTCCCCTGATCCTAAACCATGCCGTCTTTGCCAGAGGTGTTAGCTTTCCACAGACAATAATTGCCTCCCGTCCTTTTTTGAAAGAAGAGATAACGGGAACGAAAGAAGAGAAAATAAGAGGGAAATCTTAAAAGCTTCTCTATGGCTGTTGAATTACAACTTCCACCATCCCTGATCTCTAACCATAGGAGAGCCAGTTTGGTCTAGTGGACTAAGGTGCTAGCTTAGAAACCAGGAGACAGTGACTTCTAATCCTGCATTAGCCATTTGTCCAGAATGGCAATAGGGTGTCCTGGCTAAGCAAGGGGTTGGAATGGAAGACCTCCACAGCCCCTTTCAACTTTGTTATTCTGTATTCTGCATTAGCCATGAAAACCGCCTGGGTGAAAACTGGCAATTTCCCGGGCCAATTACCAGGAGATTGTGAGTTCTAGTCCCATTACTGATGGCCTGATTGATGGATTCAGTGCCCTGTATATAGTGGTCCACTGGATATGTCTGGTTTAATGAAAAGAAGGACTAGGGGAGACAGGATAACAGTGTTTCGATATCTCAGGGGCTGCCCCAAAGAAGAGGCAGTCAAGCTATACTCCAAAGCACCAGAGAAGGCAGGACAAGAAGCAACGGGTGGAAACTAATCAAGGAGAGAAACAACCTAGAACTAAGGAGAAATTTCCTGAACAATTAATCTGTGGAACAACTTGCCTCCAGAAATTGTGATGTTCCAACACTGGGAGTTTTTAAAAAGATGTTGGATATCCATTTGTCTGAAGTGGCGTAGGGTTTCCTGCCTAGGCAGGGGGTTGGACTAGAAGACCTCCAAGGTCCCTTCCAACTCTGTTATTCTGTTCTATCTCCTAGCAGTGACTTGGGGAAACGCACAAAAGATTAAAGCCATCACAAAAGATACCCATCTCTAGAGCACAGTCTTAAGAGAGGGAAAGGGAGACAGACAGAGAAATAATCCATACTATTTGAGGTGGGCAAATCTTATATTGTCCCCGTCTCCATGGGGCGGGGTGGACCAGTTTGGGAAGGCCGGGGTTGTCCTTTATGATAGGGGGAATCCAACCCCTCTGAAGGACATCAGGTTGGGAGACGACCCATTAATTGCGCTGTATTTTGCTTTTCCTCTGGAGAGATTGAGGTAGTTATATGGGAGTTACTCCTTCTCTCAGTTGGAGGAGATGGGCTCAAAGGTTGCACCCTTGAGCGCCTGATTTGGTTCTTCTCAGCACTTGTCCAGCCCATAAACTTTCTACTACTCTGGTCTATTTGTTATCGCTATCCAGGGTACTGAACATCCTTCCTAAATCCTGCTTTGTTCATCCGTCTATCTATAACTGTATCATCTATAACTATGTCATCTATATCTACATCTATCTATCCACCCACCCATCCATCCATCCATTGCTTCTTTCATCATTCCATCCATCCTCTCTCTCTCTAGCTATCCATCCATCCATCCATCTATTGACTACTCCATCGTTCTATCGTTCCATCCCTTCATTCAATTTACATAGCTGCCCATCACATAAACAAGTGACTTTGGGTGGCCTACAATCTGAACTGCTTCCTTTGGCCTGGATGGTGTTTCTCCCATCTTGACAACTTTCAGATGTGTGGACTTCAACTCCCAGAATTCCATAGCCAACATGTTGAAGGTTGAGGAGCACTGGCCTACGCTGTCTCCAGTCCATTTGGCAGAAGAAGCTTTAGTGAAGGCAGCATCTACCTAACCATAGAGTGGGATCAGCAAGATAGTCCTCTAAAGGCAGTCCATTCATTCAACATTCATCTTTCAGTATAGTTCCCTCTCTCTCTCCCCCTCTCTCTTCCTTCCTCTCTCTCTCTCCCCCTTCTCTCCCCTTCCCTCCCCCTCTCTCTTTCTCTCTCTCTCCCTCTTTCTCTCTCTCTCTCCCTCTCCCTCCCTCCCTTCCTCCTTACAAATAATCTTTCCTTTTACCCTTCACACACTTCCCATCCATCCATCCATCCATCCATCAAAATTTATATGGCTTACCAAAATAAAAACCCCACATAAACAACCAATAAAAACCAATAACACCCCACCCTACTCTGGGGACCACAATCAATTAATCAAATAAGCCACTCGATGGGCTCCACCCCACTCTGGGGGGGTGGGCAGGCTTGTTGGCAAAACCCAGGAGGCCTCACGAAAGAGCGTCAACGTTTAAATTCTCTACCTCTGGAAAACCCGAGACGGTTCTTTGTGGATCTAGGACTTGTCATCTGCCCTGGGACTCCACGGCCCATCCCTCCTCTGGGCTGGATGTAGGGGATGGGCATTGTAGTCCCTCTACAATTAAATACAAGCCACGTCGCAACCCCAGGTGGGCTCACCGTAGTATAGTGGACAATACAGAGGATTGCAATCATCAGGAGGCCAATGAGGATGGACGCGATGGCAACCAGCAAAGCCGTGTGGCCCAGCCGCCTCGACCCTTCGATGTCTCCTTGATTGTAGCTATTTAGCGCCTGCGGGAAGAAAGAGGAGGAGGCAGCCCCAGTTAAAAATCCCGACGTGAACTCTGCTCCCATTTTGTTCCCGAGGGCGTCAAGACCCATAAGGCACTCCTGCCTGGGAGAGCTTTTTCCTGAAAAGGCTTGGCTGGGGAGGCCGTCGGTCTTCTTTGGAATCGGCCTCCCTTTTGGGTCAGGGGGGAGAGAGTACGAAGGGCATTTGTATTGTTAAGTGAATGAAATACCCTGACAACACGATGTTTATTAAGCACCCAGGAATGTAATTCACAGCAAATTCATAAAACGTATTTTAAAAAAATAATAATTTGGACGCTTGACTCATATTTATGACTCGGTGGCGGCGTCGCGGGGGGTGGGGAAATCATGCCATCTTCTGACCAGCAGAGTCGACGGGGAGACACCAGATTCACTCAACGGCGGCGTGACTAACTTTCAAAATGGCGTCGATTCACTCAACGACAGCGTGACTCGTTTAACAAATGCAGGGGTTTCACTTGAAAAACGGTGGCAAGGAAAGTTTGTCCAAACCAAACCAAACCAAACCAAACCAGGGTAAAACGTACTTCGCCATTGCCTCGCTTAGCAACGGAACTTTTGGGGCTCCGTTGAGGTCGATTCGGGGAGGGGGGGGGAAGGGGGGGGGAAATAAAATGGCACGTAACCAGCCGTGTACGAGAGACAATTAACGCCCCAGTTAAAAAGGCACAAAGGCCGCCAGTTAAATCCAGGCCTTTGAGGGCGACCTTTCCTCGCTCTCTCTCTCAAACGTGAAGGTGTCCCACGACACAAACAGATCCCGTTACAGCAAGGAGACACCGAAGCCGACGCAGGCAACAACTCGAGTCTCAGGGGCCAGGCCTGAAATCTTGGACCTCTCTGATGTCACGGGTAAGATGAGCCTGAGGAGAAATAGCCGTGAGGGAGCTAAAAGTCTGTGGAGGTTCTCAGTCCTCCAGGTCACGGCTGTCCCAAAGGTGGGATGTGGGTTTGTTGTTTTTTTCAGGAGGCCATTTTGTTTTGAAGACGTTTCGCTTCTCCTCCGAGAAGCTTCTTCAGATCCGACCGGATGGTGGGGAAGCGAAGGATTGATACTCCTTGTAGACAGCTGGTCATTTGCATCCTTTGAGAGGGTGGTTGAGGCCACTTGGAGGTTTCTCTGTGTCCTCAGGGTCACCTGCGTGGTGCAAATGCGTGTGGAGCCTTCTGACCGGATGGTGGGGAAGGAAAGAATTGATACTCCTTGCAGACAGCTGGTCATTTGCATCCTTTGAGAGGGTGGTTGAGGCCACTTGGAGAGGTTTGTCTCTGTCCTACAGGAACCACTTGCACCACTCACTTTTAAACCCCATCCTGGGAAAAGCACGATGGGTATTGTCTATCCACCCGGGAGGGTTTCCCAAATCTTTGGAGCTGTTGCAGTCAGAAAGCGAGTGAGGGGGGTGGCGGTGCAAGAGTTCCTCCCCACCCCGGTCTCCCCAATCTTGCCTCCCTCCTTCCACATCCTGTTGGCTGAAGGAGCCTTCCTCATATCTCAGCGGATTTGGCCAGGCTCCCTGTATCTCCTGGAGCTTCAAGAAGAGACGGTTGGCCTTTTTTTTTTTTCCCTAAGTAATGCACTGCAGTCCATTAAGGCTGCTAAATGCCTTAGTCTGGGTCTTGGCCCAGAATCCTCCTCCCTGTCTGGGATCGATAGAAAAAGGGTGTGACTTCTGCTGCAGAGGGCAGGAGAGCACAGCCTGAACTTCTGCTGGTCCCCCCCCCACCCCCCAAGCAGCTTCTGCCTCTACAGCAAAGGGTCCTCAAACGTGACAAGTTCAAGACTTGTGGACTTCAACTCCCAGAATTCCTGAGCTAACATGGCTGGAGGAGGAGGGATTCTGGGAGTTGGAAGTCCACAAATCTTAAAGCGGTCAAGTTTGAAGACCCCTGGAATAGATAGATGGAGAAAGAGAGGTAGAATAGATAGAGAGAAAGATAGATAGATATAGAGGGAGGGGGGGAGAGAGAGAGAGAGAATAGGATAGGATAGAAAGATGGATGGATGGATGGATGGATGGAATAGAAAGAGATAGGTGGATGGATGGAATAGATAAAGAGAGGTAGAATAGATAGAAAGAAAGAGAGAATAGATAGAATAGACTAAGAGAGGTAGAATAGAGATAGAATAGATAGATAGAGGGAGAGAGAAAGATAGAATAGAATAGAATAGAATAGAATAGAATAGAATAGAATAGAATAAAGAGGTAGAATAGATAGAAAGAGATAGAATAGATAAAAGGGATAAAGAGAGAGGATAGATAGATAGACGGGCAGACAGACAGACAGATAGATAGAATAGATCAAGGGTCTTCAAACTTGGCGAAGTTCAAGACTTGTGGACTTCAACTCCCAGAATTCCTGAGCTGACATGACCGGAGGTGGAATTCTGGGAGTTGAAGTCCACAAGTCTTAAAGCTGTCAAGTTTGAAGACCCTCCAGCTCTACAGAGAAGACGGGGTCCATCTCTTCTCCAAAGCACCAGCAGGCACGACAAGAAGTAGTGGGTGGAGACTGACCAAGGAGAGAAGCAACCTGGAACTAAGGAGGAAATTTCCTGAAAGTCAGAACAATTAACCAGTGGAACAACTGGCCTCCAGAAGTTGTGGATTCTCCCACGCTGGAGGTTTTTAAAGAAGAGACTGGACAGCCATTTGTCTGAAGGGGTGTAGGGTCTCCTGCCTAAGCAGGGGGCTGGACTAGAAGACCTCCAAGGTCCCTTCCAGCTCTGCTATTCTCCAAAGCACCTGAAGACAGGACAAGTGGCAACGGATGGAAAGTAATCAAAGAGAGAAGCCACCTAGAACTAAGGAGGAATTTCCTAACAGTGAGAACAATTAACCGGTGGAACGGCTTGCCTCTAGAACTTGTGGATGCTCCATCATTGAAGGCTTTAAGAAGAGACTGGACAGTCATTTGTCTGAAATGGTATATGATTTCCTCATTGAGCCACCGTCATAAATACGAGTCAGTCTGCCAGAGAAGAGCAACCAGGAGGATGAGAGGACTGGAGGCTAAAACATACAAAGAACGGTTGCAAGAACTGGGCCTGGCTAGTCTAGTGGAGAGAAGGACCAGGGGAGACGGGAGAGCAGCCTTCCAATAGTTGAGGGGCTGCCCCAGAGAGGAGGAGGGGGTCAAGCTATTTTCCAAGGCACCTGAAGGTCAGACAAGGAATAATGGATGGAAACTGACCAAGGAGAGATTCAGCCTGGAAATAAGGGGGAATTTTCTGACAGGGAGAACAATTAACCCATGGAACAGAAGTTGCCTTTGGAAGTGGTGGGATCTTCATCCCTGGAAGCTTTCAAGAAGAGACTGGACTGCCATCTGTCAGAAATGGTGTAGGGTCTCCTGCTTGGGTGGGGTGGGGGGTTGGACTAGATGACCTACAAGGTCCCTTCCAACTCTGTTAATCTATCAGTCTAAAACTCCAGGAAGCAGGCTATTCCAGTGATTAATTGTTCTGACTGTCAGGAAATTTCTCCTTCTAGCTTGGACCTCTCTTTAACAAACTTCCATTACTTCTTTTCCCGTCCTCTGGTGTTTTGGAAAACAAGTCAGCGAATCCCCTCTTCTCTGTGGCAGCCCCTCAATTCCTTGAAAGACTGCTGTCATTAGAAGTAGTCCTCACCTGGCGCCTGGTGTTCAAGGATCAAATACATCCTTTAAGCACTGAAGGCATTCTGTTCCCAACCTCCCCCAGATCCCCAGCATTTCGAACCCGTTCCTTTTGGCGAAGGGCAGCCTCAGGAATGACAGAGGTGGGGATGCCAGAGGTGGCATGTAGGCCAACTGGTTGCGAATTCTGGGAACCGCAGTTGACTATTTGGAGAATGCCAAAGTGGAGGTGGGAAAATAGAAAGGTGTAATGTGGCTCAAACATTTTCCAGCTCAGGAGCGTTGTGTTGGATACTGGAAAAGGCAGGTGGTTACCCGACATCTGTCTGTTCCGAATTTCCCCGTTTGTATTTGCAACCTCATTATTATCTATTCACCACAGTGTGATGTCACCGCTGTTCGTTCTTTAGCTGGCATTGGCCTTTACATATATCAAGATCTTCCTTCCAAGAATCTTGGATTATTTTTTGTAGGAGAAGGGAAACAACAGCTGGATTCACAGTCTGAGAGGGGTGGAAACTTATCAATTCAACTCCTTGCAAGAATAACAGAATAACACAGTTGGAAGGGATTTGGGGGGGTCATATAGTCCAACCCCCTTCTCAAGCTAAACTAAACTAAACCCTCAAGTAAAGACCAGAAAATTATCGAGGTAGCATCTAAGAATCTAGGCAGTTCGAAAAGGGGATAAACTTAGGGGGTACAGGCCTGATAAATTCAATATTTCTTAAATTCAATATTTCTAGATATGGAGGAAAACGTTGAGGTATCTCTCTGAGGGCTTCAATCACGATTGGCACATCAAAGATCACCTTTTCCCTAAGTACGACTTTGATCTTCAAACATTTTTTTTATCCCCGAATCTTTCTCTTTAATCCCCGCATCTCCCAAAATAGCCACGTCAATGAACCAATCTTTCTTCCTTTCCACCAAACTGCACAACAACAAAAATATACACTCAAAAGGAGATTCAACGATCTGTCTTTAGAACTGGAATATATTCAAACCAGAGTGATAGACTGAGAACTAAACCCCAGCAAAAGAGAAGCAGACAATTTAAACTACTTAATGTTTTTTTTTTTTGCAAGAAATTGCAAAGCCTGGTTTTTTGGCTTCCAAGTGACGTTACTTGAGAGAATGAAGAACATTAAATGGCTTCTAGGTGATCTGAAATTATTTCTTTTATTTTTCAGTTTTAAAAATAATCGTACTCATCGGCTATTTCTAGACCTCTAGGGTGGAAGAGCAAACTTTTAAGATCCGTGGGGGTGACATCCTTTAAATTTGCAAACAGTTCAAATGTGCTTGCGTGGAACAGAGACTGACATTTCTGAATCTTCCAGTGTAAATAGCAAAAGAAGGGCTAAGAGAGACAGATAATAGCCATTAAAAGTGAGCTTCAAGCCATCTCCAGTTCCCATATACACCTTTATAGCTTAATTCTAATTATTCAGATTCAAGTTAGACCTCAAGAGGACCGTCAGACAGACAGAAGGTCCACCTCGCGGTGAATCCAGGAAAAAGTAACGTAAGAGGAAAGAAAGAAAAAAAATAGATCTATATACAGGTAGTTCTCAACTTGTGAGTTACAATTGAGCCCAACGCTTCTGTGGTTCAATGAGACATTTGTTAAGTGACATTTTGCCCCATTTTACTATCTTCCTGGCCACCGTTTTTTGTGAATCACTGCATTGGATAAGTTAGTAACCTGGTTGTTAAGTGAAATTATGGCTATCTCGTGGATTTTGCTTTGTCAGAAGGTCTCGAAAGGGGAATCACAGGTTTGCAAGCAGTTGAATGTTGATCACATGGATCAGTGGTGGGATTCAAAAAATGTTTTCCTACCGGTTCTATTTTATCAATGGTTAGACAAAAAGACACGGTAATGAAATATATTAGGAAATTTCATAACATAAGACTAGTAGAATGATATAGAATATAATATAAAAATATATAACCATTGGATGAATGCATAATATACATTCATATAAAATTTAGAATATTCTGTATAAAATGATGGAATAATAGTTTAGTCAAATGAACGATTAATAACTGACAGTGTATAAATAACATATGTTGGATTGATAATGTGAGAATCTATAAAAATTGTAAGGACTATGAGAGGATAGCACAAAAGATTTGTAACCAACTGACACACTGTATGTATATAACTGGAAGATGGTTTTATGTTTTTTTATGTTTTGTGTTTGTTTTAAAAATAAAAAAAAATTGGGCAAAAATTACTACTGGTTCTGTGGGCGTGGCTTGATGGGCGTGGTATTGACTTGGTGGGCGTGGTGTGGCTTGGTGGGCATGGCTTGGTGAGCGGGGCAGGGGAAGGATACTGCAAAATCTCCATTCCCTCCCCACTACCCCACTAACCTGCTTTCCAGCTCCGTTCTCCTGTGGTGGGCAACAAATGAAGACCCAGCTGATCAGCTGGGACTCAGGAGGCGGAGAATAGATGGGGTTGGCGGGGCCAGTCAGAGGCGGGATTTGTCGCTTCTCTGAACTACTCAAAATGCCCGCTACTGGTCCAAACCAGCTGAATACCCACCTCGGATGGAGATGCTACCAAGATGGTAACTATTAAAAATGGTCATGTCACTTTTTTCCACGCCGTTGCAGCTTGGAACGGTCACTAAATGAACCATTGTAACTCCAAGACTACCTATACCATAAAATGGTGGTTATTTTTATAACCTTTAACTGGACAAAACAGCCCATCATCCAACCACAACTTTTGAACCCAGATTCCTTAAACGGGCTGACTGACAGAAAGCATCCAAAATCTGCGGTCCATGACTCCTCCCAGGATGTTGAAGTTTGGCAAAAAAAATTTTTACAAAACATTTTAGGACATAATATAAGATGCCGTAGGACGCTTCCTGAAACCGGGCTAAAAAAGGCGGACTATTTTTCAAAGCAGGCCCATCCCTGGGTGTATTTATTTATTTACCCAGTGGAGAAACCGCCTCTCCCTTTCCAAAGAGGAGCCATGAATTTTCAAGAATTGTTCTGGGATGCTCTTAGCTCTGCCGTGGTCGAAGGCGCTGAGGAATCTGATCAGGAAATATTTCTGAAAACGGTGACCCAACAGGCCGCGGGGATTGTCTAATAAATAATAAACGCAGTAATTGCATAACAGGATATGCCCGCTTGCCGGGGTTTGTGAACACTGAAGAGCATCCATTAGCAAGTGGAAATTGGAGGTCCAGATTTCTCGGCTGCGGTGATAACAGCCATGGGATTTTTCATCCTCCATCCTGCCTTGCCCCACTATTGGCTGGGATAAGGGGAGTTAGGGACCCTTAGTGTAACGTTTCATCATCCAAAGTAAGTAACTTTATCAGTGCTAACACTGATAAACATCTGCAAGAAAACCACCAAGCTCAGAGAGCACCAAGGACCCAATAATTCTTCTCTTCTCCTCCTCCTCCTCCCTGCAAACCCCATTCCCTTCTAGCACTGATGATGTTCCCTAGTTGGGTCATGAAACGTCTGCAAGAAAACCACCCAGCTCAGAGAGCACCAAGGACCCCTCATGTCACCCCACCCCTTGCTACACATATTATCCTTCGTTGATAGCAGAGGCTGGACTGCAGCAACATCTGTAGGGACTATCCAGTTCTGCTTATCTCAAAAGTTATATTTTGGAGGGCGAATGGAGAGGCCCGTTACATTTTTCCATGCTTTGCATTTTTAAAAATATGAATATAATAGTCATCCCTTGCCAGGAGTTTAGGCCAAATGGACATAGATTGGGGGTGGGTGGGGCTTTCAGGTACACAACTGGCTTATGGGAAGTATTTCAACTGTTGGTGGCAACCAGGGGATTTGAGAATTCCTGTCCCCTGGAATTCCTCAGGATCTCTTCTTTAAATTCCCCACCTTTGCAGTGTTTAATACTCCTACTCCACTTCCAGACTTGAGCTGGGAGGCCATTTAGGGTAAAAGCCCCCCACCGCCCAACTCCACCCCACCCCACCCCCGCTGTTAAAGTGCCACCAAGCAAACCAAGCTGGCATATTTTGGAAAGGAGACTTGGAAGGAAGTCTTTAGAGACGCGATCCGGGTTAACCGTTGCACGTTTGCGACAACTAGAGCCCGGACCGAGCTGCCGCTCGCGGGATCCGCACCTCCACCAATTCCTAAGCAACGCCCGGCAGAATCCGCGCAGCGGCTACCGGCGTCCGTCGCCTCCCAAACGGGAAGACGCAGCCGCCTGAGCCTGAAACAGGTCCCTTCCGTCGCGCCTTTTGGTTGCCCCCTTACTATCCCGACGCCAAAGCACCTGGAGAGCCCGTCTCCTTGATCCCCGAGAGGCCGAGCCCCCTCCCCAGACCCCGCGCCCCCAAACCCCTTTTCCCTGCCGTTTGCCCCTCGGCTTTAGGCCCCCAAGACGCAGATGGAGCGATTCGTGCGTAAAAGCGCACAAGCGCCTTTGACCCAAAGGGAAGAAGAGAGAGAGGGTGACCAAGGAGGCGAGGCGAGGCAGGGGGGCGTTTGAGAAAGGGACCAAGGGAACACGGGTGGGGGGGACTCCGGTGGGGTCTCCACCCCCGGCCTCGGTTTGCAGGGGTGCCCAGGCGCATGGGGTGTCTCCCCGACAGCCAGGATGGGTCCTGGCAACGTTGGGCAGGGCGCGGGGTGTCGGGAGGTGGGGAGGGGTCCCTGGCTTCCCCGCCCGCTCCCCCGGCTCACCATGACCGAAAAAACGAAGGCGGCGATGTTGACGGGGTACGCGGGGCAGAAGCAGGACAGAATGCTCAGCCACAAATAGTTTTTGGGCGGGGGGCGCTGCTCCTCTTCCTCCTCGGGGCCCGGGATCTCCTCGGCGCCGTTCAGCTGGAGCTCGGCGCCGCTGCCGCTCTTCTCCAAGCCCCGCTTGAGGTCCGAGTAAGCCGGGGGAGGCGACGAGCCCGCCATGGGGTGGGGGTCGTGGGGAAGCCGGAGAAGACGGGCGAGGAGGCGAAAGTTGGACGGCGGAGAGAGCGCGCAAGGCAGGCGGGAGGAGGAGGAGGAGGAGAAGGAGAAGAAGCGAGGGAACTGGTTCGGTCCGGGCTCCTTCCTCTGCCTTCGCCTCGGGAACGACGGCGTTGCTGCTGGTCAAAAAAAAACCGTAAACCCCAGCGGAGACCAGCTCGCTCCGGACAACCGCTCAGGTTTCTAACCCGGAGCGAAGAGAAGACGCGCCCGCCGGTCTGTGCCAAGGCGCGCCTGGAGCTCCGCGCTGCCTGGAGCCCCCACCCGACCCCACCCCGCACCAGCAGAGGCTTTGGGGGGGTGGGGGTTGTAGAGAGAGACAGACCTGATTGGCCGAAGAAAGCCCTCTTCGACCCAATCAACGTTGGGGAAAGGCGGGGAGACC